TGATTTATTTACTTTAATAATCGCAAATACTCTTTAGGGTTTAGAAGGGTGTTACATTAGTGGTATCAGAATAGGTCGATTTGTCCAGCCAGGTTATTGAGTGTGTAGTGTGTGACAATGGAATATTGTCGAGATAATTTCTAACCATTGTGACTGTTATTGATGTGAAACAGAGAAATGGCTGGAAGGAGCGATGTTGCACTTACTGCTGCTTTGCAGGTTGTTGCTCAAGTTGTACAACATCACCCTAATGATGGATCCCGTGTTTTGGAGACGTTCCGGGGGAATCATCCACCTGTTTTCAAGGGTAGGTTCGACCCTGATGGAGCACAAGTTTGGCTTAAGGAGATTGAGAGAATCTTCTGAGTCATGGATTTCTCACAGACGTAGAAGGTGCGGTTTGGTACGCATCAACTGTCAGAGGAAGCTGATGACTGGTGGGTTGGTACTCATCAGAGACTGATAACGCTAGGTGAAGTGATTACTTGGGTTGTGTTCAGTAGGGAATTTCTGAGGAAGTATTTTCCTGAGCATATTCGTGGGAAGAAAGAGATTAAGTTTCTGGAGGTGAAAGGAGGAAGTTTGAATATGACAGTATGCTTCAAAGTTTGTGGAACTAGCAAAGTTTTATCCGCATTATAGTGAAGCAACTGCTGAGTTCTCAAAGTGTATCAAGTTTGAAAATGGTTTACATCCAGAGATCAAGCGGGCGATTGAGTATCAGCAGATTCGTGTGTTTTTAGATTTGGTGGACAGCTACATAATCTATGAGGAGGACAACAAAGCTCATTCAGCTCACTATAAGAGTTTGAACGAGAAAAGAGGTAGGCAATATCAATATCGTAGGAAGGCAATATCAAGATCGTAGGAAGAATTTAGTAGATAAAAAATTGAGAGAATTTTGCAGAGGTCAAAATAAACAAAGAAGTGAAAGAGAAAGTTGAAATCCTTTATAAGGAAGATGAGGCCACCAGTACTCAAAGGAACCTTTTAGGATTCCTTCAAAAAAATTGAAAATGCTCAACACGTGTCATTTATGTTTAGTGTCTCGAGAATAAACCATCGTTGTTTACATTAAATAAAATCATGTATGTTCATCTGAGTGATTGATGCTTGACATTCGCAACTGTCACTCAAGCTATACAACAGATATCTGGTATGAAGATGATGACTTATCTCCAGCAATAGGACTTGTCTTCTATCAAATGAGCTTTCTACGGTCGAGGAACTCACTCCTAAGCTGAGGGACTCGCCTCTCATCAAAGGAGTCGCCTTTAATTGAGGAATTTGCCTCCCATCAAAGGAGTTTCCTTCAGCTCAGGGACTCGCTCCTAAGTTGAGGGACTCACATATCCTTAAAAAATCTCCTTCCACTATAGATCTTTTCCCTGATAACGAGGAAAAACTCGAAGGAAGCCTAAAAATACTTTGCTATTTACAAGCCTTCGTGCTTGAGAGATTGTATAGTGATATATTGGTAAGAACCCCAAATAAGAGTGACATTAGGGTCCCCGCCTCGTAAAGTGTCGCTTGGGCGCTGCCTTTGCGTAGCATAAGGAGGCTCATCATCAGGATAGACATGTACAATATCGTTACCCTCCCACTAGTCACATAAATTGAGTCATACCATGACTCCTTGAAAAATATGTAACGAACAGTATCCCCTAGTCAAAGGGGAGTGATTACCACTTCTTACGATTTCCTAACCCCTAGGTCCAAGAGCCTTTATAAATATTTGATCATTTGAGGATATCAAGACAAATGACAATTTACCTAACGTAACACATAAGTACAGAGTCTTTCACCTCATGTGAGCTAACACACTCATACCAGTGTAAAATATTTACACAAAATCTCTCACCACCGTGAGCAAACTATAACCACCGTCACTTACCAAGGCCTCTAAGTATCTCTTATTCGCATCGAAATACCACATGCACCAGTACTTTTTGAAAAATATAATTATAATTTTATTTTTTTATTTTCTCTTTAACGATTTTTCTCGATATATATTAAGAGTTGTTACATCTCATTTAAGCCAAACATATTTAAAAATTCTTTACACACAAAATTAAAAAATCAAATTAAATAGAAACATCTATGTCAATTGATAAACTTTCTCATAAATACAATATTTTTATTTTATATAAAATAAACAAAATATAAAAAGGTACAATTCTAATAAGGTAACATATTCTAATAAAAACAATTTTAATTTAAGTACAAATTACTTATTAAAAAAAACTTTTCATTTTGATGACAATGTTTAATTGAAAGGAAGCATAAAGTCAACAAAAATTGATTTTGTTTACATAGATGAGTTTTATTTTAATTTAATTTTAACGTGAATACTAATAAGGTTAAATGAGAAAAATTACCATGTTGAAAAATTGAGAAGTGTTCCAGGGTGAGGAGTATTTCAATTCATTGTCGTGGAATCTTGATTATCTCAAAGTTATGAAACATGCAATGTGTCGGCGATTTCAATCCAACGGTTGAAACCTGCTTTGGAAATCACGTGGGCCACACGTGCGCTGTAAAGTGAAAATTATAAGAAAGGACACAGCAAACAGAAAGTGACTTGCCATGCCTATGCCTAATGTCTTGTACCCCAACACCCAAAAATGGAACCGAATAATCAAATAGTAATAATAATAATATTAAATTGTTTTAATAGTTATTTTATTATATTAAATAAATTATTTATGTTTGTTACTGTACAAAACGTACGGTGTACGACAACATAATTAAAGGAGGTAAAGAAGCTGAAATAGGAAATATGGGTGTTGTGGTTGAAAATTGTAGTTTGGTTCCCATGCTAAGGACTTTAAGAAGAAAGAGAATGATGAGAAGAGAAGAAAGTGTCGTTTAGTTTAGTTTTGAACTATGGACATGATGTTTTCAAGGTCGTTTTCTTGGTTGGTTTTCTTCTCTTTCTTACAACTAATGATGGCTTTCAATGTATTGCATGGAAGTTTCAACATCGTGCTACTATTGTGTTATGTCATACATGATGTTAGTTTGTCGTAGCTGGTTTGAGCTTTTGTCCTACAAATTTTTCTCAGTGACATAACCTTTGTTACATGGAAAGGGTAATCTAGCGTATCATTTGTGTGTACTTTGAATGAATCATTCACTCCCATTTCCTTTTTTTGATTCGTTTTACCTCCATCCCCTATTAGTCCATCTATACAAATGTGGTACTATTATTCATGCGCCTAATGATCTAGGATCCATTATAACCTTGAAATTTATTTAGATTGCTCCATTCGTACTGATTACTTCGTGAACAATCCTAGGGGTATAGACTGTGATGCTAAGAGCAAGAAAGTCAAAAGGCTTCTTTTAATCCTCACGTAAAGAGTCTATAATTATAATCGAGATACTAATTAAGAGACATCTCATTTCACACTTGGTGTATTTTAGATTCTGCAGTGAGGAGGGTTGATGTTGTGTGAATTGATTTTATAGAATGAATTATGACTAAAAATAAGTTGGATATAAAGTGATTTTATATTTGAAATCATTTATGTGAAAGTAAGTTGAACAATAAATTTTAGTGTAAAAATCATGTTTAAATTTAAAAGAATCAATTCTGAACGCAGAATCAATTCTACTTCAGAAGAATCAAAATCTCAAAATCATTTCATAATTGGTTCTACATGTATAAAATTACTATTGACCTTTCTAAAAATAAATAAAAAAGTTTATGTTTAATTCTGCGGAGAAAGAATTGATTCTAAATGAATTAATTTTTGTAGACTTGTTTTTTATTAAAATTGAGTTGAATGTAAACTGATTTATGTTTTGATATATTAATGTAACAATGAGTTAAACACTAAATTTCAATGTAAAATTCACGTTTAAACTCAAAACTTATAAATTATAGTATCAAGTAAATTTTAGAGTTAGAATTAATTCTACTTTAAAAAAATCAACACCTTAAATCACTCCACAATTAATTCTACCTCTCTATCTAAAATTGAAATTGATTTTGATTAAACGTTGGTGCTAAACGAATCAAAATTTCTAAATATACGAAAATAGATCCCTAAGTTTGACCTTTGCAGACAAAATTGCAACTAATGGACCTTAGTGTTCAATGTGTGACTTCTATGGACCAGAACAATTGTAGGCAGTTAAGTGCTTTATAGGTGTCGATATCATTACAGATATGCAATTGCTGATGCACACCGTGTACGCGCGTTTTGGCCAAATAACGACAATCACACAATTAACGGTAAACGCCAAATTCATTTATGAAACAAACACTAATTCCAGCGGAGCATAATCAATTCAATCAAAGCAAATTAAATAGAAAAAGTCTATAATAGACCAATTATCAATTCGACATGGGAATAGACCTTAAGGCCTCAACAAGTTTTTCATATGGATCATATGAGAAAAGAGACAAATTTGATTAAAACATTTTTGTCCAACTCTCTTTACAAATCATAACCGTCCTTTACCGATTAGACACAAACGTCTTGGTTTGAGATAATTTCTCATTCACAAACACCAAACATGGATTCACAGGGCAATGGATTTGACTTCTCTTAGAAGAGTGAGATTATTAAAATTGATAAACGATAAATAGCTGTTATTGAATAATTCCACAGCTCAATATTATAAAATACAAGCGTTAGAATTTTCAATTAATCAGCTTTGATTCCACGCTTTCCCTTTAAAAGGGCACTCACTCTTCCCTTAAGAGAAGCCAAATACATGGTACTAAAGACAAACCAAGAGAAATGCTTATTGAAAAGTATCAGTAGAGAATCCCAAATTACATTTAGCTGTTGAAGATGGAGTTTTAAATTTTTGACACAACATCCCATATATTCATACAAGTTCCAATAGACATGTAACCAGAAACTAGGAGGAATATAGACTCCAAAATAGTATTAGACAATTCCTCTAAAATTTTCCATTTCAATTTGATAGTTAATAGCATACATTTCCACTATTGTTATTTGAGACCAGAAGTATCCACCAATTTGTCAAGCACCACTGGCATATAATCGGGTCCACTCCTTGGCTGCAGATGAAAAAAATACCACAATTAACATAAGAGACTATACAGTCACATAGCATGTTGGATGCCATAATTAAAAAACAACAAACTTTGATATAATCAAGCTAGTAGAAGAGACATACCTGTCTCAACAGCCTCAGCCTCATTAGATTTCCAATGCTTGGCAATGTTCTCAGAAAGTGGATCATCAGGGTTTGGTGCACTCAGAAGAGCTTGAATACTATAATAAGGCCCACAAAATTTACATTATCAGTAAAATATTATATCCAACTCACTCGGTGCAGATTAATTTTACATTAACTTTCTTTCCGCAATGTTTTGTCTATTCCAAAGGAACTCAGAAACCAAAACCAAGATCCACATGTACCCGTCGTCACATACAAAGTGAACAAGTCACCTCAAACAATGTGTTTCTTCTTGCTCCCCCACCCCTCTTTCATGCAATCAACCAGTAAATTAATGGTTTAAAAATTATTTATAATGCATAAAAAAATTAGTTTCATAAAAGTTTCTTTTTCAGAATTGAGATTCTTTCACATGACTTATTTACTACAGTTTTTCAAGAGATGAATTGCTCCGTACATCCAAGAGTGTAAAAGATGAAAATTAAATTACCTCAAAAGAACAGTGCGAATCTGAAGGGCAGGACTCCACTTATCTTTCAGAATATCAAGACATATTCTACCAAGCTGCATCAAACTTTAACTTGTATGAAAAGTTGTCATCGAAGAAGAAATGAAAAGTAACGGAAACAAAGCATACCTTATCAATGTTAGGGTGATATATTTTTGTCAGGAACCTAACCTGGAAGAAGCAAGGCAAGGAATAGGAATGGTTAGAGATTCTTTTAGACAAAAAAGGCACACTTCAAATCATTCCTAAGGTTTCTTATAACAAGAATCAAAGCCAGAAAAGAAAGTGAACACACAGTCACAATTCTTAGTGGAGTCACAATTCTTAGTGGAGACACAATTAAAGTATCCTTCAGAATCAAAACATTAAAAAGAACCTCCTACTAGACCTCTCCGGGCCGAGCAGGATTAGGGACCGGAAATGCTGCTAACCCTCTGTGACGTCATTAAACTGGTCAAAACGTATTGAGGAATAAAAGAATAGTCCAGATTCATACCCAGTCAATTTAACAGCATGCTCCTTGTGCAACCACCACTAAGCAATTTAGCAGTAGTTTAATGGTGAAGCATATTGACTAATATATTACTACCTCCATCCCTGAATATAAGATCCTTCTGAGAGAAAAATTGTCCCTTTTTGAAAAACCCATTTCTTTACAATCATACCCGTTTATTTTACATCTTTTTTTGCAGTCAACAATAAATACCGTGAGGGGAATATAAACCAATTTTCTTGAAGGACAAATTTATAAAGACGAAATCAAATTTAATACTACCACCAACTTACTTCTAGTGATGTTGTCAGGAGGGTCTTACATTTAGGAATATAAGTAGTATATATTAAGTATAAGGATTTTAAGAGACATAGTTTCTCCACTTTCAAAGATAGACTACAAGTCACAAGATTTTGGCAACTAACCAAAATTGTTGGTCATTTTTCATTATACACATTTACAAAATTAATTCAAATAATTACATTTTAAGCTAAATTTTAATATTTATCTAAATATCGTATGAATCTATTTAGGTATAAAATATACATGTCATGGTTTTGATGAAATATATTTCTGATATTTTATAGGTGTCATTAGTTTTTCATTTTTTAGATAGTCACCCAGTTAAATCTAGTTTAGTACCTATAAATTTTTTTTAGAGATCGGATTATACGAGCAAGTCAATTCGATTTAATCTAGTTAAGTCATGTAGTTCAACCAGAGTGACCCAATGACCTTGCTGAGTTAGCGTCTTAGCGCCCGAGCCACTTTTTAAAACATTGACCTAAAATACTATCTGATACACAGAAGAGCTGAGGCGCATTCTTTTACCAAGCACTTGAATTAGCAATGTTCTTAAAATATACAAATGACTGAAATGAGTATCCTAGACAACATAGGAAAGTTGAGCATTATATTCCATCCCAACTTAAGAAAATATTTAAATTTTATTACAAATAAAAGCATGTTATAACTTTTTCTGGTAAATGTATAGGCTAACAAATGAAGGAGAAACTACTTTTAAGCTGAACACTTAAGTACAAAGTTAGCTAATTGAATTTTCAACTGAACTACCTCTGAAATATAAAATGACATAGACGAATGTTGATATTATTTTATATATAAAGTTTAGTTTTACATACACTTCAGTTGGGAACAATGAAGGACAAGGCAAGGTTTGCACAAGTGTGTGCAATCCGTTTAAATTTTACAGGATATCCTGTCCCAGGGCCTTACATGTTTGGCGGTTCTATTAGATCATCAAATATCAACATACGAAAAATATAGTAACTAAAAACCCTTTGAAAAGTTTACAAATAAAAATAAATTATGTCATCATTTCTTCTTGGAAGAGAAGAACACAGCAGAAACATAACAGTCCACACCAAAATAATACCACAAAGCAGATGAAAAAATGGAAACGGTTAAATCAAGTACCTTCGGAGCAGCCATTGGATATTCTTCAGGCAAAAACAGTTCTAGCTTGAAAACCCCACCTAATAATACAAACAAGAAACTTGAATTAGGGAACCTGAGACTTTTTATTGAGGTCAAGGTAGTCAAAAACGAGTGCTGGGTCGTAAGATCGTAAGATCTTACGTGTTGGGGAGTGAAATTAGTGCTAGGATCTGGGAAAGATCATTTTTGGTTGCTGCCCTAGTCAGGATCGAGTTTTTTGAGTAAGATCGTAAAAAAATGTGCTGGGCCTTTTTTTGGGGCTTTTAAACCGGGTCGGTTTTCTTTAGTGAAAACCCAGTTTTTATTTAACTTGCAATCCTAACCCTAAAACAAAACAGAACAGAAACGGCACTTCATTCTCTTCATCTTCGCGAAAATTCTGCACTTCATCCTCTCCATCTTCAACTTCTATTCTCTTTTCCCCGAAAATATCAAACTTCTGTTTATCTTCTCCCTATTTAATGGCTTCTCTTGAATGAAAAGTGACCCAGCTTAATACTGTGCTTTAATTGATCCAGCTTCAAGAAAAGTGAAGTGTAAGTTCTGTGAGGGTGAGTTTACAGGTGGTGTGTATCGTTTGAAGCATCATTTGGCCGGAACCAGAATCGATGTTAGGCCCTGTTTAGCTGTTCCAGATGACATCAAGATAATAATGTTGGACAATGTTAAGCGCTGTTTAGCTGTTTAGATGATTTAGATGTTCCTTCCATTGTTGAAGATTATTAAGACTTATTTGTTATATTTATGTTTTTTGAGCTACTTATGTTGAACTTGATCTTTTAAGCTTATTAAAATATGGAATGACGGTTATAAATTATTAACTAAATTAGTTGAAAGGTGTGATTTATAAGTTATTTTGTTCATGTATTATAATTTTCATGTTTTTGTTCATATGAATTTACCATTTTGTCCTTCAGTAAGATCTTAAGCGTCGTGCTAGGATCCTAGCTTCACGATTTTTCACAGGCCATCCGATCCTACTTAAGATCCCGTGCTTGACTACCTTGATTGAGGTAGGAGAGAATTAACAAAAATCCAGTATTAATAAGCTATCCTTATTCAGTAATATATTCCATTCCAAATTCTAAAAGAAGAGTGGGGGGCTGTGGGTGCACTATATTTGAACTGCAGGGTGCACTATCAGTATGAAGCGACCTATAAGCTTATAAGGTATCAACTTCTTGAAGGAAAAGTGGTGAAAAGAGTATAATCCTCCATAACTAATCCAATCAAGTGCATTTAACTTATGCGCAACTGAAACCATCCTACTAGTAGGTAAGGAACCATTATGGCCTTTAAATAGGGTGAAAGAGTAATAGATGATTCGCACTAGCAAGGATAAGAGTATGGTAACCATCCATTTAATCAACCCAGTCTTGTCAACTTATTGGCTCTTCTATTTTAAATTCTAGTGTTCGACCTCAACAAACCAACCACTTGGTGCACCAAAGTACAATTACATTCAACCAAATAAAGCTCATAAATTAGCCACTTAACTGATTAGAGAAGCATACACGCATGGGATGCAAATGTCACATAGATGTGGTAAAATTATATGGCATGTGTGTTAAGATACAATTATAAACATGTATTAGTATTAATGTAGTATAAGCAACAACGCACATCAAACCTTAATTTGGAAAAAAGACATCCATATCTCAAACTTAAGCAAATAGTCATTGTACACACTAATGTATCGATTCATTAGGTACACCATGAGGAAAGGTGGGGGGAAATGCAAAAACAATATCGAAAAATATAGGTATAAGTATCCAATAGTATCTAATTATCCAACACAGTTTGTGATTTGACTCTTATATAATAACCATTTTGAAGAGTTAGTGGTTCGCACTTTGTAGGTGAAAAGCACTGCTCATAACATGAACATTAAATTTAGTTTGGTCATCAACAAATGTTTTGGAAAAAAAACTGCTACTTTTACCTAACAGTATCAACCTGCACAAGCAGCTATAAGTATTTTCCATGTGCACGAGAACCACAACCTATAGTAATTGATTATTGACTATTTGTCCATATATGTGGTGAAAGTTGTAAAAATAATGCAAATAGCAGTCATAAAAAAATCTCCAGCTCAGTGATAAGCATAAAGGATAGCAGTGTGCACCAAGATGATGCACTTAGAAAAGAGTTCAAGTTGGTGGAGACAGACGTTAAACATATAATAAGACAAGACAGCTGTGATAATCAAATATGCTTAAATAATTAACAACTAAAATGAATTGACATAATACTTCCATTTCAACCTCATAGCTCAAACAGATTCCCCAACACAAATATTAACAGAATAAACATTTAATATAACTAGCAGGCTTCATGTAGCATCAACAAGCTAATGTTGAGCTTGATATTGAAAGAGAGTTATCAAATTGCGGCGCCATGACCGCTAAGGCAGATATACATGGCAGTTTTAGTGCTTGCCGCAACGGTAAATGTCGGCCATTATTGCGGGTTTTCCGCCATAATGCGCGATAACGGCACCGCAAAGCGGCCGGTAAGGCATGATTTTGGCTCTCCGCCGTAAACCGTCATCCACCATCGACAACACTGGATTGAAAAAGCGGTGCTGAAATATCAATGTCAAAAATGAAACAGTATCCTTACATAATCATTCCCAAAATAAGTCTCCATCCAGAGAATAATTATATATAGTAAGCAACAAAACAACACTCAAATGCCGCAAATAAATCGGGAAGTTAATTTCAAACAAAAATAATAAATAACTACGCATTTCTAGGTGAAAAACCAAGTTGCTAGGGTCGTCACTACCTTCATAAGGAGACTGAGTTGGGCCAAGGATCATCACATTGAAATACCGCATATTGTCTTCCGAAGGAGATGCACTAATTCCCGGCGCTGTATCATCAAATCAAGTATAATAAAACAACACAGCCAAACAAAAACAACAAGGAAACAACATTCAGCATAAATCATAAATCAGCAACACAAAATTCAACGTGCCTTACAAAACACTAAATACTAAAACAAAATCAAAAAACCACAAAAAAGAGGCACAAATTACCTGGTTCACTGAGCAAACGCTGAGTTTCCTGATGAGATCAAACAAACAAGAGTCAGCAAAAATTTCACAAAGATCAAATTCAAATACAAAACGAAGAAAAGAAAACCTAGAACTGAAATTAAGCTAAGAACAGTAAAAGAAAAAAAAATCTAGAAATCAACCCTAAACGAAACACACAATTTTCCGTCCAATCAAGCTTTTATCACCATCGTAATAGTTGAAATCGATTGAAGAACTAACCACGAACAGAAATCGAGGATTCTAGGTTTTCGAATCGATAAAACGAATGATCATTGAAATTGAAATAGGGATCTTAACAAGAAAACGGATACGAACCTTGATGATTCTTCGGGGAAGGTTGCTGTTGGCCATTACTAGGTCGATTGAAAAACACGCTATAGGGGTTTGAGAGTTGCAGAGAGAGAGAGAGAGAGATGAAGGTTTCTCTCACTAACGCAAATGAAATGAAAATAACGTTTTGGGCTTCGTTTATTATTTATACGGCATTTGATTTTGCTTAGAGAATTATTTTATGTTTTTTTTTTCATTTAAAACTTTTTTTTTCTCAAAACTTTCATTCGATCAAATTGGATTCATGTATACAAAAAGTTTATAATGTCAATTTCATTATTTTATGAAACTAATGGGAAAAAAATTCATACTGTACTTATTTAATTATATATACACTTTTTAACTATAAGCAATGTTGTATAAAAAAGAAAAATATGAGTTATTTTATAAAAATCGTGTGAGAAAAAGAGTTTGTTTGACTTTTATAAATTAAATCTTAATTTTCCTTTTATATTTTTATATTTTTTTAATAAAATGTCTAAATATTAATTTGACTACTCTTTATATTTATTGTAGATGGATAGAATGCAATGTAGGACTTTTTATTGATCTAAATCATTTATTTTCAAATGCTTTTAATTTGTCTTTAATGGATTTAAATCAAATAAAGAGAAGACAATTGTGAAAGTGAATTTCATGCATTCTATAACTTTTTAAGAGGATATTAATATTGATAATTTTTATTTAAATGAAGTTTCTGTTGTAAAAAATGGTGTGATTTATTAATTTTATGTAGAATAATAGAATTGTTTAACCTGTTTTTATGATATTTTCATATTGGGTCATCTTAGAATTAAGTAGAACTTTTGGTCAAATAGTAAATAAAATATTGTATTTTTTTTGATTCAGAAAGTTAGTACTTAGATTTTTTTATGCAACTTCGTGATTGAAGGTAACCGGTGATTTATGCCTTACCTAATTTTACTTGAAATTTCGTCTCATCGCCACTTTATAGCAAATGAAAAATCAAAAGCGGGAGAAAGGGAAAGCTTTATCTAATCGAGAACGAAAGAAAGGTTTTTCCGTAGCTTTAATAGAGGAATTGAGTGAATAATAAATGAAACAAGTGGAATAAATGAAGTCATCAAGTTAGGATTCTTCACATATTAGTCCTTTACGTGCCTAATCTCGTTGTACTTCATTGTTGTTCTGCCTGTGGAATAACTCTCATCGATATTTATCATCCATCTTATCACATTTTCAAGTAAACTCTACTTTTATCATATATTGTTTTGCAACACTATATATTCACCCAAAATCTTAATTGGGTATACGAGTTCTCTCACTTATAAAGTGTCCAACATTTACTTTACCAAATAATGGGGGACTTTGAACTCATATTTGTATCTCAACAATCTACCTCTCAAGTGTGAGTTTGTCCACTTATATGCTCCCTTCAAGCAAAATATTTTTAATCAACATACACTTGTATCGTTGTGGACACCCTTACCACATCACAGACACTTTAATGGAACACGTTGTCTGACGACCACTATGTCAAAAAGACTTTCTATGCAAGAAGTTGGTCTCTTTCTTGAACCATCGACTTTGATACTACTAATGGGTCACGAGGAGGAGCATTCATATTGAGTTGAGCAACACACAAGTGAAAGAGACATTGCATATTCACCCAACACCTTAAGACATTTGATATATGGATCTTCTCACTTATAAAGCGTTCAACCTCCATTTTTTCAAGCAATGTGAAGAATAATAAGTTAAAATAATAATAGTATATTGTTGGCCCTAATTATAATGATATGATCTATTTTACATGAGTTGATTTACAATAATCAAAATTAATTAATTATTTTTATATCAATAATTAAATTATAAAAAATAATTTATGAAGTTAAAATTGATGTTATAAAATAAATTTCTTGTAATTTATTAGTGTTAATCATTCTACATCATTAGATTTTATACCAAGTCAAATAAAACATGCATAAAAGATTAAGAGTTGAAACAACAAAGAAAATCACTAGAAACAAAAACCATATTGAAATATATAAGAAAAATCACAACCAGACAAGAAATCATCCTACCGTTATACAAAGCAACAAAAAAATCGTTGATGTTGATACGAAGAACATGATAAGAAGTGATGAGAAGCACATCACCTCGAATAAGGATAAAATAATCAACATGATAGCAAACCCGAAGATAATATAAGAAGAAATAACGAGAAAGGAAAAATCAAGGAATTAACTGAAAACATACATGAAACTCAAATCAGGAAAAAACATGAAACCAAAACGAGAAGCGTGAGAACCCAAAGTCCAAGTGGAATTCTCCAAATTATGGAAGTATAAAGTGCAACGTGGATACGAGCCTCAATATGAAGGGTAAATAAGGACTTGAATCCATTTATCATAATGATTATGGTGAAACTATGGTTGTTAGCACTTGGTTCATGGAAGGAGATGAAGATCCTATGATGGCCAAAATGATAGTCATGAACAAGAAAGTTGAATTAGCAATAAATTGTGATTTTCTGAGTATAGAATTTGAAATGGACAATCAAAACCTAATTGTGATGCTAAATGGAAAAGATAACTCTATAACTCCTTGAAAAATGTTAAGAACAAAATTATGTGGAATTCTTAGAAATTATAAAAGTCTTTTACTAAAGGAGGCAATAATGTTTTGGCCCACATTTTAGCAAAAAATGCAACACAAAAAAAAAAAGAATTGCTTATCCCACGCACCACAAATATTTTAAAAAATATGAACAAGGGTTTATTCGGCAATGTGTTTCCCTATGCACTATAATTTCACCAATTTTACACAATGAAATAGGGCACATCCGGAAGTACATCTTCGAAATATGCCCTAAGACATTATTGAATTTTTAAAGTCCATATTAGCATAAATCTTGTATAAATATGAGTCTCACATCTCATCTTTTTAACAAAATCATATCACACCAAAATGAACATATATTGGCATGTCGCATTAGTCTACTTCAATGACACGAAGGCCACACTTGAATTTAAGGTCACAGAGTACACCTCTCTTGTAGATTTGAAATATATACTAGAGAATCTCCTATAATACTCACACAATGTAAGAGTTGTGAAGCTCAAGTGACGTTCTCCCTCGATTGACAACGAAGGAAAAAATCAATTCAGAAAGTTTAAGATGAAAATAGATGAAGATTAAAGGGTTATGTGGAATATATTTCGTTGTTATAAAATAAAAGGTTTGATCGAGCTGGATGTGACTATTGCAATATCGAAAATATTTTGAAGATGTTGAAACATCCTACTTGACGATGAAATGTACTGTTCGATTTATGTTAACAATTATATATGTAATGTTTCATTTTTTATGTATTTCATAACAATTATGGATGTCAATTTATCTTTGTTTTTACATCTGGCTCATTTTTGCAATTGTTGCTGGTTCATGGAATCTAGAAATGCAATTTCGTAAGGTATACAGATATGAATTTCTAGATTAAACGTAATCATTGAATTGGGGTGTGGCTCAAAAACAAATGAATTGTGTGAAAATAGGGTGCATCCAAAGATACACTTCTGAATTCTAGGGATAATTTTGGTTTTTCACTTGGGGAAGCAATGCTTAGGGTGTGTAAAGCAATTAATTCCCAAAAATAATATATGAGTTGAAAAGACATTCAATTCTATCAAAATCTAATTCATTCTAAAGATGAGGCCCAAATAATAATAATTTATTTTTTTTGTGTAAAAATATATTACAACAACTTCATGATACAAAATTCATAAAATAAACTTGTCATTCTGTAATGTTATATTTGCAAAAGGCCTCACCTAAGGTGATGCCCTTGGACCACCTAGGAGAAGCAACGATGAAAGGTCGCACGAAGGGAGGTATCACCTTGCTCTGTAGTCTTCCTTATCCCTCTACATGGGAAAACATGGGGTAAGACATTTTGGGGCAGAGAGAAAGTAAAGGCCATTAACTGACCCACGACTCCTTTGAAATAGGGATTCTACTGTCCACTATTGGCTAAGTGGACAACGGCCCTTTCTGAGGAAACCCTAGATCTTAGAGACTTCTATAAATACATTTCTCTCAAATAGATGAGGTATCTCAAGTAATACACACTCCTAACACCCTAAAGAGCAGAACACTCACCACTGTTTTAACATTAATATCACTGATTGTACACTTGCTACCAAGCATCATCGATTGTCAGCACGACATATCACCTCATGTGAACAATCTCATAAATAATCTTAAAATACCATTGTACAGGGCTTCTTGTTGTCGGCAAGTCCTCACAACCAAAAATGTGTTATAAACCTACTAAGGCCTTTTAGTCTTCCTGTTATTGCAAGGGGAACATGCACACCTGTACTTTTGACCAGTATAATGGTGTCCACCGTAGGATCCCGATAAAACTAACATGGGCCACACTTTTACTCTAACTCTCACCATCTTCCCCTGCAGATGGCTGCCCAAACCACAACCTACAATGTAAACACCATTGTTGGAGGCTTTGCTAGTGAAGGTAACTCTATATCTTCCCAAAGGAAGTATGTGAGGCAAGTATTTGTGGCAAATGTAACATCATGTGGCTTCCCCAGAGAATTTTAAGGGAAAATAAGGATTAATATCATTTTCTCTAAGGAGGATGCCCTCGGACTCAACCCTCACGATGATGATTATTTGCTCATCATTGTGCAACAAGAGAATTAGGACATCAAGCGCGTCCTGATAGACCCTAGTAGCTCTGCTAACGTCTTATTTTAGAACACCTTCCAAAAACTACGACTCAACCGAAACGACATAAAAACATTCAATGGTTATTTGACGGGGTTATCAAGCAAACATGTACAAATAATGGGTCAATTAACCCTAAAGACCATGTATGGAAAGGGAATTGAAGCCAGGGCGATTGATGTCAATTACCTCATTGTTAATGTTATATCACCATACAAAACCATCCTTATGTGATAGACTATCAACGTCCTTAGAGCCGTCATATCCATGGTGTATCTAACCTTGAAATACCTGCTCCCTGATGTGAGATT